TGCTGAGGGAGTTAATGGTGTCATCCAGCACTACAACATTAGCATTACTGAAGTAGAAACTGGTATTGTAACACATTTCACAACCACCTCAGTTAGTTACACACTAACTGATCTACACCCATTCTATACATACAAGTGTACTATAGTAGCAGTTACTATTGGAGCTGGTCCTATTACTAGTCTGACAGTACAAATGCCAGAAGATGGTAATTAAAGCTTTTTTTTAATGAGTATTACTTCTTTTATTTATAGTTCCTTCTACTGCTCCGAACAATGTCTTAAATACTGAAGTGGCATCAAAAAGTCTTACCATTAACTGGGAAGTGTTACGTCTTGAAGATCAAAATGGATTGATTCGACATTATTTGATAAATGTGACGGAAACTGACACAGGATCTCAGTTCCAGTATACATCAACTACTATTGGCATTACTCTTGCTGACCTGCATCCTTACTACACATACAGCATCTCAGTATCAGCATTCACTATAGCTGCAGGTCCATGGTCTGACCCATTACTTGTTACAACTGCTCAAGATGGTAACTTTATAATTATATGACATAGTCTTATTTATATTCTGTGCTTTGTAGTACCTTCTAGTTCTCCCGTTAGCATTAATACATTATCTATTAGCTCTGTTGGTGTAACCCTTCAATGGTTAGCTCCTCCACTAAGTGAAAGAAATGGAATCATCATTGGATACAACATCACTATTGAAGACACAATGCTAAATACTTTGTTTATTTTGTACAGTTCAAAATTGAATGTCACAGTTAACTCACTTGAACCATACACAATGTACCAGTACAGAATCGCTGCATATACTGCTATTGGGCTAGGACCATACTCAGCCACTTTATTTTTTCAAACGCAGGAAGCAGGTAAAGACAGTTATAATTAATTTTTTAATGTTATTTTTTATTTTTAGCTCCTTCGGAGGCCCCAGAATCATTAACATTGGTTGATATTTCCAATACAACTGTAACACTTACATGGGACTCCCCTCCACTTGATGCTCACAATGGTGTCATTAGAAAATATATTATTCAGGTTGTTGACAGCAGTAATACCCAATCACTCTACAATGTAACTGGAAATACTATCACTATTACTACTTTACTACCTTATACTGACTATAATATTGCTGTGTCAGCATATACAGTTGCCAATGGACCTTTTAGTAGCTATTTATCTGTAACGTCTGATGAAGCAGGTATATTTATTTATATTTTTAATGCTAGTTTATTATGTGCTTCATATAGTTCCTAGTGCTCCCCCTGGTGCCATATCTGTAACAGCTATCGATCCATCAATTCTTAGCTTATCATGGAATCCTTTACCATCCTCTAGTGCTAATGGCATAGTTCGAGAGTATATTGTTGATGTATTTGTGCAGGATTCATCAGAGCACTATCAGTATTCCACTGTTAATACTAGTCTAACCTTAACTGAGTTACATCCATACTACACTTATACAGTGTACATTGCTGCAGTCACCATTGGCAGAGGACCATTTTCATCTGGACACACTATAAGAATGCCACAAAATGGTACGTATTTTAAATTTAAAACCAGTACTTTATTTGGTTGTGTTTTTGTTATAGCTCCTAGTGGTTCACCTAATAACATAACTGGCCTACCACTTAATTCTACTGCTGTTCAAGTGTCCTGGAATCCACCACATCTACATCTACAGAATGGAATCATTACATCCTACACTATTGCTTTATTAGAAATAAGTACCAATGCTACCCAATTATTTTCTCAAAATTCCCTTTATACTACATTCATCATTAGTGGACTGCACCCTTATTATGATTATAGTATATCAGTAGCAGCTTACACAGTCGGAGTCGGTCCAACATCTGTTACTACTGTCAGGACACTGCAAGATGGTAAGTATTACCGGGTACTTTATTAACAAAGAATAATTTATCGTTAAAATTTTTATAGCCCCATCAGCACCACCACAGAATCTAACTGTTAATGTATCCAGCTCAACTACTGTCTTGCTTCAGTGGTTACCTCCTGAACCCAATTCACAGAATGGCATCATTCAATTTTATGAACTCAAATTATACAATAGTGATACAGGTTCATCAGCTATTATTAATCCAGCAACAACAAATTATTTGTTAAGTTCTTTGCATCCTTTTTATTCATACACCTGCAGTATAGCTGCTGTTACAATTGGTACTGGTCCTTCATCTAAAAATATATCATTCCAAATGCTTGAAGATAGTTAGTCACAACCATATTGCTAATATAATTTTAATATTTTGCTTTCAGTTCCTTCTAGATCACCAACTAATATTAGAGTAGCTTCAATTACTTCAAGGAATGCTGTAATAATGTGGGGACCTCCATTATCTGAGCACCAAAATGGAGTCATAACAGGTTATACAGTAAGGATTAATAAGGAACAGTCAATGGAACCTCTGATTGTAACAACAACAACATCTAACTACCTTAATATTTCGTCTTTGGAGCCACATACTGAATACAGATTTGTTGTTTCTGCTAGCACCAGTCAAGGAGAAGGTCCCTTATCAAACTATACATCATTTGTAACTCTTCAAGATGGTATGTATGTCTTTTATTTTAATTGTATGTTCTATTTTATTTAATAGCTCCAACTGCATCTCCTTTCAATGTAAGAGTAACAGAAGACTCTATATTACCAAGTTCCTTTGGATTGGAATGGCAGAGCCCATCAAATGAACAGTTAAATGGAGAGCTAATTGGTTATCTAGTTATGGTAATAGAGCTGAACACTGGAGCCATATATACCAATCTCACATCCAACCCATATATTGTTCTGGATTATCTTCACCCTTATTACTCATACAACTGCTCTGTGGCTGCTGTAACTGTGTCAACTGGTCCTTTTAGTGATAGCATAATTGTACAAACAGCACAAGCAGGTAAGTATGTACAATATTTTGCTGTATCTAATATGTTTTTAATTGTTGTTACTCAGCTCCTAGTGGTCCTCCTTTATCAGTCAATGTGGCTACAATTAGTTCTAAAACTGCCGTAATAGTTTGGAATCATCCATTAGTAGATCAAATAAATGGTATTTTAAGCAATTATACCATTAGACTTTATGAAGTTGAAACATCACTATATTTTACATATTATACAAGCAACACATCACTCTCTTTGAATAATCTTCATCCATACTATGTATACAATGTATCTGTGGCAGCGATGACTGTAGAAATTGGACCATATTCCAATGATGTAGCATTTACTACTCTTCAAGATGGTAAAGCACATAATATTAATGATAGATTATCTTTTTAACTTAATGTAATAGTTCCAACTGGCAAGCCACAAAATGTAACAGTAACAACTGTAAATGCTACTAGTTTGGAGGTCCGATGGAGTCCAATTCCTTCAAACATGAGAAATGGTCTAATCGTATCATACTCTATCAATGTAACTGAAGTTGAAAGTGGCAGCACATCCTTTATTTATAACTATGTTGATAATGTCATTGTACTAACTGACCTTCACCCATATTATAACTACAGAGTACTAGTTGCAGGAGCCACTGTTATTGGCACTGGTCCATATGCTCTATCAGAAGGGCAAACAAATGCAGCAGGTTAGTGTCATGGATTTTTTTATTCAGAATCAAACAGTAGACTCAATCAGGGTGTATGTAAATATGGGGAGCAAATGTGCTGACTAACAATGCAATCCCAGTGCCTAATAGTTCAAGTGGTTTTTATTTTGGCAGAAAATTTGCATGAGCTAATGTTAATCAAAGTATACATATTAATTTTTTTGTTAATTCAAAATTTTGTCAAGTTTCATGTACTAAAGCTATGATACCATATACCTGGTTTATTTTGTGTGGAATGAATTTTTGTGCAGGCTCAAATCCACAAAAATTAATTCCACTTAATTTTATTAAAAATTAACAAAATTTAATGAGCAAAAAAATTTTGTTCAAGTTAGCTCCAAAATAATTTCTTTTTATTTTCTTAAAAGGCACATTAGGCCTACCATAAAACACAAAATTTGTAGATAATTATTTTAGAGCTTTCTTATTATTCTTATGTTATGTAAAATAGTTTGAGCAATTTTCAAGCAAAATTGGTGCTTTTAAAGCTGTGTAATTTTTGGGGAAAGCTCTGTTCTTAAGTTGCATAAATGTTTGCTGTGATTCCAAACAAAATTGTTTTTTCGTAAATTTTAATTTGATTGAAGATCATGTGCATAGTGTTTCATCTAAAATAATCCTCAATAAAACTTGTTAAAGTAAAGCCAAATGTACCGTCATGGTTTTTTCATTTGCTTAATAGTTAATTTTGCAACCATGACAGAGTATTATATATTATAATTGTTTTGCACACTTGACTAACTGTTATTGTATTCATAGCTCCAGTTGGACAGCCACAAAATATTTCTGTGAATGTTTTGAGTTCTTCAATGGTTCATATAATGTGGCTTCCACCACTTCCTGCACAACAGAATGGACTCATATCTTATTATGTTGTATCACTTTACTCAATTGAAACTTATGAAACATCGCAGTATAATACAAGTGAAGCTTTCATTCAACTTACTGGTCTGCATCCTTTTTATAACTATGAGTGCCATGTTGCTGCAGTTACTGTTGGACCTGGACCAAGTAAAATTACTACTTTCCGAATGGCAGAAGATGGTATAAGACCTAATCTATTGCTTTACCTTAATACTTTAATTTATAGTCCCACAAGGGCCACCACAAAATCTAACAGTTACCACTTTGAATCAAAGTACTATTCTCATTAGTTGGTCTCCTCCTGTTATCTCACTTCAAAATGGAATTATCAGATCTTACACTATCTACATATTCCACAATTTGACTGGATTAACAGACTCATACACACTTTTGAACACAACTACACACATTGTTACAAATCTGAAACCCTTTTCTGTTTATTCCATTAGTGTAGCAGCATCAACAATAGACATTGGTCCTTTTACTTCATTTGTACCAGTGATGCTCCCAGAAGGAGGTTAGTTTGTCAACAAATTATGTTCTGTAATGACAATGTATTGCTCTTTAGTTCCATCGCTGGCTCCATCTCAATTTGTGGCTGAGTTTGTTTCTAATGGAACAGCTCTTTATTTTTCATGGATACAGCTACCAATAGATGATATCAATGGAATATTGTTAGGATATCAGCTCAGTTGCAGTGGACAAAATGAACACACATTCTCTGATATTATAACTGGAACATCAGCTTATGCTTATGATGTAGACAAAAATACTCATTATACATGTCAAGTATGTGCATTCACTTCCGTTGGCTGTGGACCAACAGCTATGACACACATCAGCACATATGAGAACTGTGAGTGCTTAAATATTTGGTTATCATTTTCGTATTACATTTACTTTTAGCTCCTGTGGGACCTCCTCATTCTGTTTCAGCTAATACAACCAGCACTAGCATTTATCTTCAATGGAAGGCTCCGTTTGATCCTGACTCTGTCATTTTGAGCTATGTTGTATCATATCATTTGCTTTCAACTCCATTTGCAATTGAAACTCCCCGTCCAAGGGTCACTATTGCTGATTTAAAAGACACTTCGTGTTTAATTTCCTCATTGCTGGTATCATCTACATACCAAATTGACGTGTTTGCAGTTACAAAAGAAGAAACAAATGGACCTACTAGTGAACCAATAATCATTATAACTAGCTCTTCAGGTAAATTTATTTTCACACATTAGATCTATTTGTAAATGCATTTTGCCTAGGATCAATGTCACCCAAGAATTTAGAATGTTTACCAACAAGTTCAAGCAGTCTTTATTGTACTTGGCTGCCTCCTGAAGTAGTAGAATATGATATTCAAAACTACACTTTCCGTTACAGGCTGGCAGAAGGTTTTGATTATTATCCTGGCTATGGAACAACATTAGGTGTGTTAACATTTGAATCTGCCACTCTTCAGTACAGTCTTCATGGTTTGCAAGCACATGGAGGGTATATCATAGAGCTAGAGGCTAATCTCTTACCCATGATTGGGTCAGGATTTTCAGATTCTTCTGGTGAATCTGAGTTACAGATTTCTGATTATGCTGTCACAAAAGGATCTACCACTACTGTTAATTTGACTTATCCCGAAGGTAAAGAGTTATTATTAGAATTTTAATGTGATGTTGATACTTTTACTCCACTGTAGCTCCCTCAGCATCTGTGGAAGAGGTTAATATCCTTGTTGAAACTTCTAGAAGCATGAGAGTATCATGGAAGCCACCAAATAGAATAAATTGGAGAGGAAAAATTGAGTCATACAAATTGATTGCTACACATAATGAAGAAAACAGTGTTAACAAAAGAGCTGAGCCTTTATCTAGAGAAATATTAGTGCAACCAACCAATAATCACCCAGACCCTAGTTTAGCTAAAGAACCATTACAATTTGAATCTTATGTCATTGATGAATTAGAAGAAAGCTTTGAGTACTCCTTGTCCATTATCGTTACAAACCCTGCTGGTAATGCTATGCCTTCTACTCCAGTTCTTCAAAGAATGCCAGAAGCTGGTTGGTTGTAATAATTTTTTAATTCTTATATACATCTTTTTTTCTGTATGTAGCTCCATCTGGGCCACCTACTAATATTTCATTGCAAAGTGCTACATTAAATACTATAAATATCACTTGGCTACCTCCAAATTCAGTGGATGCTAACGGTGTAATTGTTGGCTATCAAATTATTTTTAATAGAACTATGATCAATGATGCTACAGAGCACTCACTGTCTTCCAGTCAAAATTTTTTCTTTAAAAGAGGTATTTATTTTGACAACTGTTTTACTGCTAGTATACTATTGATTTTCTGAAGGTTTACAGCAATATGAAGTTGTTTCCATTAAAGTGGCTGCAAAGACAATAGTTGGTCTTGGGCCTTATTCTGACATAGTATTTTTCCGAACAAAAGAAGGAAGTATGTGAAAGTATGCTGTATAAAGTTTTATTATGCCCTTAGTTCCAAGCCCTCCAATATCGTTACAAGCAGACATAATCAATGAAACATCAGTACTGTTAAAATGGGACCCAATAGAAAATGAGCCAGTCATTGATTATCATGTATTTTATTCTGGATACAGTCGTACTTCAAGTAGCACAGATGGACCTCATTTGATGATCGTAAAATCCTCTGAATCTCCTCAACTACTCATTTTAAATTTGATGCCAGGATATTTTTATCAGTTTATTGTAAGTTCTCTGTATAGTGATGTAGTTATAATTATTGTTATAATTAGGTCAGAGCCCGTAATAATGCTGGAGTCAGTGCTAATGCTTCTGTTGTGATTGTAGTTCCAGAGGTAGCTAAACCTAGTAAGTAAACAGCTGTTATTATGAGTGAAATATTATAACCTATACAGCTAGTACCATCAGTTCACAGCAAGGATTAGATTCATCTGATATCCTGACTTATGCTGTGCCAAGTGTTTCAGCTTTAATAATAATAATTGTATGCACAATAATGACAATCATAATCGTTGTGTCTTTGAAAAGAAATAGCAGAAAGAAAAAGTAAAAATATTTTATCACAATGTGTTTTAATGTCTCTTAATTAAAGGTTTATAATGTCAGATGAACCAACCATAACAATCAATCCAATTCACAATTTACCATCCAGTGAGACTGGTCCAGGAGTACCATTGAAGTCTCTTCAATTCAGGTCTGAACCAATAGTTGAGAATGATTATGAAGAGCTAAATCTTAACAATGAGGTATATCTATTATTGTTATTTATTTATTTCTTTATTTTTTGTTCATTATTAATTATCGTTGTTGTTGTTGTTGTTATTCAAGTACATGTTTTTTTAGATTGTAAACGAACGCCTGGATTGCCAAGGTTTGTTGTTATTGATTGCATTTTAAAATATTGATTATTAATAGAAGTCACTTCAAATAGTACAGATGAAGCAAGTGATGATGAGAAAGATAATGGAGGGAAAAAAGGACTTGAGCTTACTGTTATGTAATGCTACATACTTTCATTCTTCCCTTGTTTATTAACATTAATATGCTGCACGCTGCTATGCTACTAAAACTGATGCCTAATATATTTTTGCTTGTAATTAGTTGTAGACTACTTTGTGGAATTGTTGTATAGTTATTCTGTAATTTGTGGGGATATATTTCAGTGAATTTAGCTAATTGAGATCTGTTTGCTGAATTTTACTTTCTAACTTCATAGTACCATCCAAAGAATTGCCAAAATTTTAATTGCTAAACCTTTTTAGTTAATTTGCTCCAAATTTTCTTGTGACATAAACTGAAAGGAATTTTGAAAAGCTGCTGAGGATGTAAACAAGCCTCTGAGATATTTCCATCATCATCAAGTAATTAATACAAATATATATGCCACCTCTAAATCATCATCACAACATTTTTTAGGCGCCACCCCCCCCGTGCGACGAAGAGGCGGGGCCAGACTAAACATTTTATGTTTTAATGCTAGCCTATGGGCTATAATATGAGCTACCAAGTTGTACCTACTAGGTAGTCTCATGTGGTCAAACCCATCCCCTTCCCTTTTTGACATTTGGACCAAATGTCAAAAAGGGGGATGGGTCTGGCCACGTGAGACTACCCACTAAATAGGTGCATGAGTCAATCTGTCAATAGGGAATGCACTAGAGTATCTTCACTATCTTGCACTCATATGCGACATCCACAAATTTCTGATGCCATATAATGTGCATCAATTGCATTGACCTCAAATTTGAAGGGTGTAAGTCTATGTTGACATTTTGATGTTAATGACGAGTTTCGTTTATTTATTACCAAGCGTTAGCGCTTGGTATATGTAGGGTCATAGATGCTATAATACCATAGAGTATCTATGGTAGGGCCAGAGGCCTGATCAACAGGAAGTCTTTACAGGAAATAATTTCATCAAAATAATAAATATTTGGCATACTTTCACAAACATGGTGGCTATGATAACTACTATATTCCCTTTTGCCTCATAAAAAAATTAAGCAGGGTACATGGACGCTAATAAGGTCAAGTTTCTTAAAATGCTTTTGGAAACCATTTGGAGGAATAAAAACTACGGGTAAACGAGTCCAAAACTGTGTCCCATTTCTAATAAGGGCTCACGTGATACTAATTAAGTGACCTTTTGGCCCTGTCGAATATGCAAGTCATAGATAATAGAGTAAATCAAATACAATTGATTGTATTAAATCAATTTAATACAATCAAATGGCATTATAGCTACGCCCACGCGGAAGTTTCCAATCCCTTTCATTTGCTCTAATTTACTCTACTATAGGACGAGCACACCCCCAAAATGGCCGCCATCCCAGAAGCATTGAGTCTAAGAGTCTCGCTAGCCACCCCAATGACTGTAGGCTGGGGAATGGTCTGGCTAGTGAGACTACATTGAGCCCGGATAAATCTTCAGGAATTCTTTATGGCTTATCTGACGGTCCAGATGTCCTTTATAATTATTTTTATGAAAACAGATCAGTCTTATCAAAAGTAGTTAAAAACTTCCATAAAATATTTTTACGGCTAATGAATGCATATGCCTGCATGCACCAATTGTTCAATGAAGTTTCTCCGTCTTCTTCCACAGAACTACAAAGTAAACAGCCTATCTACTGACAGTCTGACGCCAATCACTTCAAGTGAGAAATTTTTTGTTAATAAACGTCAATAATATTTATTAGTTATCCACAGAGTTTTGTGTTTATTTTTCCTTCATTCTCTGCATAGTCTCATAGCGAAGGGGCGGGGCGACAAGACTATTCTCTTCATTACTTTAATCTCTTCAACTCTTCAAGTAAGGTAAATAAAGTAAATTGTCTGTTTTATACATTTATGGGTATGTTAAAGAGTAGGGCTTAAATGCCCTCTCCATTGCAGCCGTGTGAGTTAGATTAGGGAGTGGCTTGTGTGGACCGTGACCGTGGCCATGCCCTACTACTACCGTATAGCAGGTTTCTTTTGTTCGGTTAAACTTTCGTTTTCTATGGGGAAATCCAATTTTGTGGGTTTTATTTTTGTCCTTCTGATCTGCAAGAATTAAGCCACACCCAACAACCCCACCCATAACACCCACGTGTGCATGTGTTAGTGTTAACCCGACAAAGATGAACTCCGGATCGAGCTCTCCCACAGCGAATTTTGTGGGTTTAATTTTCGTTTTTGGAGCTTGGAGAACAAAAAGAACGAAAGTTTGACCGAACGGAAGAAACCCGCTATACAGTATTATATTTAGGCCACTGCAATTAGATTCATATCCGTTTTCCACCTGCATGGCTCCCTCTCACTATTTCATTACTGTAGGTAGCATTCACAGCTGCTAATATTTGCAATAATAAAATTGTAATTAAGTACCATGGCCCAACCGATAGCACATTGCTATAACAACAAGACCATGTGTTTACAGTCTTTAGCTGATTTTCTGTTCTTTAGCAGCTTTAGTGGAGCCTTTCACCAATAGCCACTTATTCTGTTTCTGTTTGCTTCTTGTATGAACCTCTAGCTCCAAGCTCCTTGCTGCAAATTGTTGCTGGTCGGTCGGTCATGATAACAAACCATACCCAAGCCAATAAACACCAATTGGAATGGGTGGAGAGTGCAAGTAGCAGTTCTGAAAAGTGCATAGTTAAAACAGCTTCGAAAAGACCAACAAGGGCTAGTAAGAGCAACTCAAGAACACTGCATCAGGATGCTTTGCTTTAATATCAAATCACATCTGCATGATAGTTGCTGGTCATGGTAAAAAATTGTGAATATTAGCAGCCACAAATATGTCCCCATGCAGTTCCCACCTATGATATTGCAGTTATTTGTACACAGATAAAACTGATGTGTTATATTAACACAGAAATTTTGTCCCAAGTTGTGACACATGTGTAGTTTTAACACATCAAACGTGTTATATTCACTTTTTAACATACTTCTCTGTGTTCAAATAACACACTTATGTGCTAAAATAACTTAATTTTTGTGTGTTATAATTTGGGAAATAAAATACCGTAGGTCTGGATATATTCCCAGTCATAAAAAATGCAATTAAAACCATGGAAACTGTTAGAGCGTAGCTATGACAATAAGACCAAGTGTTTAGTGTTCAGCTATTCATCTGTTTTTAGCAGCTTTACTTGGGCCATTCACTAATAGCGAGTCCTTCTCTATCTCTACCTCAGAGCTCTTTCAGCCTCTTTGCTGCAAATTGTTGCTGGTCCGTGTGCTGGTGATAATAAACCACACCCAAGTCAATATACTAGTTAGAATGGGTGGAGAGTCCCAAGATGCGGCGAGACAGTAGTTCTCAAAAGAACCGGTAAAAGCAGCTCCAGGGAGACAAAGGCTTAGTAACACAAGAAGAACAACAGCTCAAGAACACTGCAGCAAGGTGCTTTCCTTCAATATCACGCCGTTTTTAATTAAAATAGCACCTCGGTTTCCATGGTTTTTAATTGAATTTTTTGACTGAAAATAATTGCAGCCACAAATATATCAACCTACAGTGTGTCATTTAAACATCAATTTTATCAATGTATAAGCTATGATGAATAAATTAATAAACAAACCCACCCACCCACCCACCTCCGTAATGGGATACTATGATGGGAGTGTCCTTAGCGAGAGATCTTTATTATAATAAAAATATTCGTTATTTGTAATCCTTATTAATTAATTAGCAGGCATTGCCACAGTGAAATAAAAAGGTGGATATGAAACGGGAAGGAGTCATGAGCAAATGGTCAATAAAATGAGATTGTGCTCCTATCCAGCAGCAACTTATGGATGCAGCTTAAAGCCTGTGACTGTTTCTACAAGTATGCTACATGTATGTGTACACTAATTAACCTGTTTTGTATCCTTTAATGTTTGACGTTTATTTAATAAAAAGCCCTAAGTACTCAAGTAAAATCCAAGTACATTTGAAAAATACGTGTATAATTACAAGTACATATTGCTTTTATTAATAGAATTTAAGTATAAGTTTGATAAGTACGATAACGTGTGCCTTTTAAAATAGATTTAATTACATAATTACAAACAATTTTTAATCAATTTTGCATTAATTCTTTAAGACATGTTGTATAGTGGGAAATTTTGGAAATTTGAAGGGAATTAAATTAGGTGAATTTGACATTTTGATAGCCATATGCCAAAATAAAAATCCACCAATCACTAAAATTTAGCTATTCACCAAATTTAACTCCCTCAAAAATGTCCCGCTATATGGTAAGTCCTTTAATACATGTACATGCACATGTAGTTTAAAGCTGCCAACTGGTTTCAGGTTAACTTAAGGCCTTTCTACACTTGTCCACTTTGGATCCAAAATTAAGACAAAATCCAGGATTAAAGCAGGATTAGCTTGTTCACACTTGTCTTGAATCAGGATTGAAGCTAGATCCAGTCAATCCACATCCAGATGGATTGAAGTGGATTGATCGCAATTAAATATTCATAACCTGTAGAAGCCAATGCAGTTTAATTCACTTTTAATTCTTCAAAGTAGCTTAGTGTGAACACAACCAAAGAGGATTCTATTTTAGTAGGTTGCAATTCTGGATTCAAAGTGGACAAGTGTAGAAAGGCCTTTATTATGTAAAGATGCAGTTCTCATATTGTATCTGCATGACATGTAGACTTGCTCAGAGTGTCATGTTTATATTCTTGTACATGTATGTGCAATTCATACATGGGGTCAATTACATTAAAATGTAATCTATTACAATTACTATTACCAGAAAATTTTTGATATTACTATTACATTACTTGACTAAACTAAAGTAATTACCTTAAGCCTACTATTTTTAACGTCTACTAAATTTAGCTATATTAGCGAGAGAGCTTTAAATCGCTAAATTAAATAGACGCCAAAATAATTGTTATTCATTATAATGGTTATTATTTATAGTTAATTTGGTTAAAAACGCTAAAATTAGTAATGCTAAACATGACTTTTGCTGATTTCGCTAAAATTAGTAGACGCAAATAATAGTAGGCTTAAGGTACATGTATGTTACTATTACTTGACGTTTAATTACTATTACTATTACTTTATTATTGTATTTGGATTATATTACTATTACTTCTATGTGAAGGTACGTGTACATAAATAAAACCTTTTGACAAAAAAACGTGCTCTCTACACATGACTAAGTGACTTCAAAAGAATCAGGTGTGCCACAAAGTCCCTCCTGACAGTGGCACTGACAAATTGATACCTATTGATTTCTATGAACTGTCAAGTGCAGCATGCATCTAATCAACACATATTACATTGTAATTTCTATTATAATTACTATTACTGAGAGTCTATTTCATATTACTATATTAATATTACAATGGACTTCGTTTTTTCAATTACTATTATATTGCTATTACACCAATATTTTGTAATCATTACTATTACTATTACTATTACATATTACACCATGTCTGATGTGCATTTGAAGAGTCCATATTTTTTCACTCAGTTTAAGTATACACACGAACAAACTACACTTGGCTTCAGTTACATAGTACATGTATACTAGCCATTTTTGTCAATACTTGTAATTTTTCTACCCAATACCCACTCAAACTCTTATATGCAAACCTTCACTATTTATTTTATTCAAACTCCAAAAAATGAATGTACGTGTACATGTACTTTCATAACCATGCCTCCAACTCTCCTTAAGACACACAAGTTCATGATTTCATTGATGTGATGTACATGTAAACATTGTCAGATTTATACTCATAATGTTCTCTCTCCATCCCTCAGTTCCTCCCTCCCCCATGTGCTCCCTTTCTCTCTGTCCCTTTCTGTCTTACACTGGAGCTCCATCAATAAACATACATGTAGGTAAGCTTATAATATTTACAATTTAATTCTTCCTTTATTTCCTGTACATTATGCATGACACTTCAATTTACAAGTAATGCCACTTTATTCAAATTTTCAAAATTTTTTGAAGGACTCATACACATAATAACATAACTTTTCCTTATTCAACTTAAGTTAACCTAGCCTGGAATCATTGCATGGAATGCCACTTCTGTCAAGTTCTTTCATTCCAATACTGTCACATTTTCATGCTTTCTTAACATGACTTGTAATCAGATTATAACTTATTGTAACAAAAATGTTCAGTATCACACTTGTTCATAATACCGTATACGGCATATATTTTGCGGGGATTAAATTTCGCGATTTTCGCATTTTGGAAAAATTTGTCAAATTAAAATCCAGAAAATAGCATGCTGATTGTATAGTAGGTGTAGTAATTACATTAAAATCACGAAATTTTTATTCGCGAATTAAAAATTACAGCCAAATTACGAAATTTTACACCCGCGAAATATGTGCCGTATACGGTAATACAATTAATTTTTTAGCGTTCTTGTTATCTTCTTTTAGGTCTCCTGTAATGAATACAACATTTCAAACTCCTCTCATTAAATTATATTTCTGTTAAACATAGATCTAATTTTGTAATATTGTTTATTTTACTTACTTTTCAATAGTTTAGCATGCTTCTTTTCAACTGCCTTGGATGTACTTTCTGGATGTACCTAAAAATTAATAAATACTCTTCCAAATTGTACCAAACAACTGGTTTAAAGTTATTGCTCAACAAAAACAGCGTTGTTCATTTTAAAAAGGATGGAAACTAGAACAAAAATTTTTAAAAATTATTTAGTGTAGGGTTGAGCCTCTGCTGGTTTGAACCTATAAAATGAATTCAAACAAGCCCCTGTAGGGTTGCATCACCATTGAAACACCAACACGTCAACCCTACACTGCACATAGGCGGCGGCAGGGTCGGGCATGGACGGGCAATGCCCGACCAAAAATTTTGGCCGGAAATGAAAATTTAATTAATGACATCATTTTTAGTCATAAATAATTACCATGGCTAGCAAGAGACAGTCTTTTCTGCTTTCCTTTGTCAACAAGCCTTCCAGGAGGACCAGGACTAGCATTTTACAGGTTGGATAGAGCTTTACAGATAAGATAGGGGGCCTTTTAGGCTCATTTTTATGCTATACCATATTGTATGAGTGCGTTGAGTATACGCCCAAAATACGTGGGGAAAAGTGGGTGTGGCCAAAATCGCGGCGCGCTTCGCGCGCCATTTTTTGCCCGACTGCTCCTTAAATCCTGCCGCCGCCTATGACACTGCAGGTTTGAAATGGCCTATAGCAGCACTGGTGAGTATTGCTATCAATGCTAGTGAGGCAATTAAAATAATTGAATGTTTCAATTAAGTTTAAAGTAATGATAATGATTGGGCAACATTATACCTGCAGTGTAGTGTTGACATTTTGGTGTTTCAATGGTGATGTAACCCTACAGGGGCTTGTTTGAATTCATTTTATAGGTTCAAATCCAGCAGAGGCTCAACCCTACACTAAGTATTTTTTACAATTTTTTGTTCTAGATTTATAGCTACAATATTCAGCTAAAATTTAATACTAGATCTAATTTTCCACGCCTACATATATATTTAATTAACCTAGATAAACTTACCAGTTACCACCCCTACATCTGGCCATAAATACAGTATGGATGCCATGCATCAATGTGCATTCCACCTCAATTTTTATGGGCGCAAGCCTTATGTTGACATTTTAATGTCAATATTTACTCTAATACATTAGGGTAAATTAAATCTAATACATTTTACCAAGAGTAGATGATAGTTAATATTTAAGATAATTATTAACCATAGATACCATAGGTAACTAACCCCGCCTACATGGCATCCATGATCTGGCTTCGCACCGGCCACTATAAATACTGCCGAAATTCACTACAAATCGTAGTGATATCTCTGATAGAATGACCGGCAATATGTGCCGTTTAATATGCTTCTTAATTTTCTTTTGCTCAGTGAATGGTTCTGTGGACTTTACTACAGTTGAAGGTACGAATGGCTCTGCCATAGTCGTAGCAAGCATTGCGAAAATATCTCGCACATCGATTTTTACCGACAATGATCAACAGATGTTACGGCGTATTGCCTATGCCGAAACTAAAGATGGAAATGATCTTAGGACGTATTCATCCAACGAAAACGGTGGGATCTGGCGAGTTGGTGAGTCAAAATATGCTGCTACCAAAGATACCAGCTCTAATCGACATCTTGAACCAAAAATCCAAGCAATATCAACCACCTTTGGCATTGAATGGCTTTCCACTAATTGGACTGATTTAAGGAAGCCATTTTATTCTGCTCTTGCTGCTCGACTTTATATGTTAGTCATCACCCAATCAATTCCACTGGCCTCTAACATTAATGGCCAGGGAAGCTACTGGGCTAACTACTTCACAAGCTCTGGTGGGACACAATCAGATTATGTGACTGCTGTCAATGAATTACTGATTTTGCAGAGTAAGTTGTATGATTCTATATAATTATTATATCTATACCTACTATAATTTTATAGATTGTAGCGTAAATGCACTTGATTTATATTTTGTCATGGATGCATCTGGTAGTGTTGGATCATCAAACTTTCAACTCATGAAAAACTTCGTCTATAACATTGCTAATAGTTTTAATGTTGGCAGTGATAGTGTCCGTGTTGGTGTAATGTCCTTTGCATCATCCAATTCTTACCATTTCCACCTAAACACTTACACAACAAAATCATCTGTACTCACTGCTATTAATAATTTACCTTATAGTGGTGGGTACACATACACAGGACAAGCTTTGGATGGAATGAGGACTAGAGGCTTCTCTACATCAAACGGTGCACGTCCCAGTAGTCAAGGAGTACCACGGGTGGGGATTGTTATAACTGATGGACAATCAACCAATCCTTCTGCTACTCTAACAGCAGCTACTAATGTACATAATGCTGGCATCATTGTTTTTGCTATTGGCATTGCAGGAGCAAATCAAAATGAGCTCAACGCTATTGCATCTCAGCCATCTTACGTGTCTTTCATTTCCTCATTCAGTTTGGCACTACTGAACTCACTTCAATATACTATTAGCCAGGAATCTTGTGTTGGTAAGTCAAATTGTACTTTGTAAATTACAAGCATAAATTTACTTCTAAAATTTATTTATTATAGCATCACCTGATGTTAATTTGGGCGAGACTATTTCAGATAATATTGGATCTGGGGAAACAAAGTACCTCAATTACCCACTCCCTAATAATGATCAAGGCATTACTATTGTCCTTAATGTGACAAATGGTTCAGCTACATTGTATGCATCAACAGTTGTTTCCACTCCTAATGAAGCCTTTCATGATGTTCAAATTACAACTGACAGATATGAAGATGTCTATATTGATCCAGCTAACCTAACAAATCCTTCCAGTGCTGATACAGTGTATATTGCCATTGAGGGTACTAGTAATAGCGGTTCAAATCAAGTGCAAGTGAGTGCAACTCAAGGAGACACTTCTACTGGTAAGATAAATGTGTATCTACAATTCATAATAGTTATATAAGATATCAAGTATGCTATTAAACTGCTTGGCTTACCCCATTTGGTTAGTTTGTAGTGTTCAACAAACTTTTAAGCGAGTGAAAATGATTTTAATGAAAATGTAATCACCTTATTCTAATTATATTCATTGTTTAGACCCAGTAGCAATAGAAAAATTCACCAAAACAAACTTTTCCAAGAATTTTGGTGCAACTATTACAGTAGTATGCAGAGCTAGTGGTAAACCTCTACCGGCCCTTATTTGGAACAAAGGCGGCGTTCCCATCACAGCTTCTAACGTCTATGCGACTAACACTATTATCAGTAACACTACTATTCAAAGTGTCATTACTATTACTAATATTAATTTTGACAATGAGGGTATTTATCAGTGCATCGGAACAAACACTTTACCAGGTGGACTGACATCTTATTCAAAATCATTCACATTAACTGTAATTGGATGTAAGTTTCATGCATAGTGTTGTCATGCAGTCATTTTTGATTTAAAAATCATGTAATTGTTTCAAAATAAGTGACATAAGACTTTTTATATTGCATAAAGCTTTTATTTTAACCTAATGATTAGTTCTGAGCATTAAATTTTTAACCAAAAGTCAACGAGTTTCACAAAAATTATTATAATTTAGAATTTCTCTAATTTTTACAATGTAAGCTAAAGTAGAGAAGCAATTTTAATTTTTATTTATTATTTTTATAGTGATTGTTACCAACTTTACTGGAATTCCAATAAGTTCTACTTCAATATATCTCAGCTGGGCACTGCCAGCAGGATACACTCCTCAGTATTACTTAGTGAATGTTAATGAACTAGAGACAAATCATTCCTGGACCTTTCATGCTGTAGAGAGTTGGGCCAATATTATATCCTTACATCCTTACTATACATACGGTTGCAGTGTGGCTGTTGTTTTGAATGAAACATCTCCATATTCAAAATACATTTTTGTCACCACACATCAATCAGGTAAAAATTATTTCTTTTTAACATTTCTATTATTTTGCAACAGTGCCCACTGGAGTCATACAGTTTCCTGTTCTAAACCCAACTTCATCTTCTGAGCTTAATGTTACATGGATGGCCCCACCATTGAATCAACAGAATGGTATCATTTCGTACTATATTGTTGTGATTACGGAAAAAGCTACTAACATTACATATCATAACACAACAAATTTAACTTGGTTTTATTATTTCAATCTTCATCCTTATTATGAATACAGTATTGATATTGCTGCTGTAACTATTGATATCGGGCCATTTTTAACAGGAATTAATGTGACTATGCCAGAATCAGGTATTTTATTTTATTGCACAAATGCTACTTTCTTTATATTCATAGCACCTTCTTCTTCCCCTATTGATGTTCATGCTGCTAATATTAGCTCATATTCTGTTAACATTTCGTGGTTACCACCTCCAGCAAATCGTCAGAATGGAATCATAAGGTGGTATGAAATACTAATTTATGATCCAGAGTCTGAGATATTCGATCTAACAGTTTCAACCACATATGCTGTAATTACTGGTTTGTCTCCTTACTGTAATTACATTGTGTCAGTCAGTGCATATACTGTTTCCAATGGACCTTATTCTGAATGGATAACTGTTACTACTTCGGAAGATGGTAAGATTCATTTTACTAATGCAGATAACAATTACTTTAATCATTATATTTTAGCTCCTAGTGCTCCACCTGATGACTTAAATGCAACAGTGACCTCTCCTTACTCAGCATTACTGACCTGGGATCCACCTCCTAATGACCAGATGAATGGTGTTATTATAAGCTATGTCATCAACGTAGTTATACTTGAGACTAGAGAAAATTTCACCTTGTACTCAAACACTACTTCATTGTTTGTTGATGGTTTGAGGCCTTTTAGAACGTTTGAATGTATCATTGCTGCTGTCACTAATGTTGGTGTTGGACCATACAGTGCAATCTTCACATTGTCTACTCCTCAAGATGGTAAGTAGAGGATTATTGTGGTTATTTTATTACATACTGTTGTATAGCTCCATCTAGCTCGCCTGTGCAAGTTCGTTCCATGTCAGTCACATCAAGAAGCTTCTCATTGTATTGGGATCCACCTTCCTATGATGATCAGAATGGTGTTATAAACTATTATATTATTAGAATAATAGAAGTTGAAACTGATGTAACATCAGAATACACATCCTATACTACAGTTATCTCTCTTTCATCTCTTCATCCAGCCTATACCTATTACTGCAGCATTGCAGCCTACACAGTTGCTCTTGGACCATTTTCCATTCAGTTCAACATAACCACTGATGAAGATGGTATGTAATAAACAAACAGTATAATGTATTGATTTGTATTCATACATGTAGTACCAACTCAATCTCCAGTTAATTTTGTTGGTTCTGTACTTTCTTCTTCATCTGTGTCTTTATCTTGGAATCCACCACCAGCAGAAAGTCAAAATGGAATAATAATTTCTTATCATATAAATCTAACAACATTAGCAACTGGCTCAGTGTCTCTCTACACAAGTTATGACACTGCATTACAAGTCAAGGGACTAGTCCCATACACTACTTATACATGTCTAATAGCAGCAGAGACAAGCATTGGAAGGGGACCATACACTACTATAATCTCTTTCACCACAATGGAAGATGGTTAGTACATTATTATATGCTAATATTGTTTGATTTAATTACATTTTAGCTCCAACATCATCCCCAGTTATAAGTTCCCATTCTATAATTGATTCACACTCAGTGGCCATACACTGGAGCCCTCCTTCAATCAATCATCACAATGGAATCATTAGAAATTATATTGTTCATATAGTGGAAATGTCTGGAAGCAGAAATGCAGTCAGAGTTTATAACACTACTGCTACTACTGTTGTAATTGGATCACTGATACCATCTTATGCATACAAATTTTTTATAGCAGCTTCTACTGTAGCTATTGGACCATATACATCTGTTGTAATTACATTGCCTGAAGATAGTAAGTTTTTTTATTAAGTAATTGACTATTACTGTGTGCATGTAGTTCCAAGTGGCTATCCAAAGGAACTTGCTGTCAATGATACTACCTCAGACTCATTCACATTGACTTGGAACTCTTTACCATATGAAGAACAGAGTGGTGACATTATCGGCTATGTTGTTAATGTCACTCATGCTGATACTCTTTCAACTGTACAGTATTACACAATTCTCACTAGTATTGTAATCACTGGTCTTGATCCTTACACCACATATGTTTGTGTTGTAGCTGCTGAAACTTCCGTTGGTGTAGGACCTTTTAGTCACTTATTCTTTATACAAACAGATGAAGCAGGTAATGATGATT